ACGTAGTGTGTATGAAGCCAACTTACTACCTAAGTGCAGTGTGCAATGCATCAGTTCGATGATTCCAGGGACAGTTGAGCAGTCATCCTCAGATGTTTGGTATTCAGAAAGATACCTCAGAATGACAGCTTCCACGTGTAAAGAGGCTCACAAGATTTGGGAGGTCATAGCAAACTGTGAACAAAAAATGATGTGCTGCGGTGAAGTTGAGACTGCTACACTACATCCGGAAAAATGTGTGGGGCCTCGACAGAATCACCACAAAACATATGAATGAAGGAATCAAAAACGAGGACAGAGCAAGGGACAGTTATGTGCTGTTTAAAAAAAAAGACTGTTCCTGACTTCTCTTGTGAGAAGACCGGACTGTTTGTTTCTCACAGGCTTCCACAACTGGCTTGTAGCCCTGATGGCTTATCATATGATCCCTCCACAAATAGTTTTGGTCTTGCTGAAATCAAAATTTTAGGGCTTCTTCAGAAGAAATCTCCTCAGGAATGTGTTGATCAGTACAACTCTGGAGAAATGACCACCAAGGACATCCAAGCCACCTGTTTCACGATTAGTGACAATAAACTTGTTTTGCGTCGTTCTCATCCCTATTATTACCAAGTTCAGTATCAGCTTGGTGTCACAGGCCTTGAGTGGTGTGACTTTGTCCTGTGGTCAGTGAAAGGAGATCCTTCCATTGAGAGAATCTACTCCGATTCAAATTTCATTGCTGACATTATTAACTCAAACTATAAGTTGTGGAGCTGTGTTGTCATGCCAGAGTTGGGTGAAATGAGGGCCCCTCGTAATCTAATACCATTCATTCTTCCCAAATAAAATATCAACACAGTATATGACATTGAATGTAGTTTTCTTTTGACAAGTTTACTGTAATAGACCTTTCACCAAACATTTTTTACAGCAGAAGTGCCTGCTCAGCATTTACCTCTTATTGTTAAAACTTTAACTTTGATTATAATTTACTTAAGACAATGGCGACATTTTGATGCTATACAAATGTTTGCTTCAGAAATGATCAGTTATTTATGGGTACAGTATTTCATTGTTATTCATGATGATTTTAAAACTATTAACTTTTGAATTAAAATGTTTAAAAGATCATTTCATGTGTATGCATTTCATTAGTTTTATGTAAAATACATTTTGATCAAAAATTCCAAGATATCAATTCTATGTTAATCTACTCATTACCTCAAAACTTAGAATATTTTCTATTATCTTTCTTTATTGCTTTCACTGTACATACAATGAAGGCAATAGTGCACAACTGTTCTCTTTGCAATGAACCTTCATTCTCTCTGTGGATATAGGTTATAAATTACCCCTATATGTAAACAAAAATGAAATAATAAATCCAAGTAAATGTTTATAGAAAATAACTTTTTACATTTTCAAAGTTCAAGTGTATATTTCAGAATGAAATTGAATGGGGGTCACTTGTTGGAAATATGATTGCCTTAAGCATCAAAGTAATATTGAATGACCGCCTCTAAATGCTTGATAGATATTGATTAAATGTGGCAGAATTAGTAAACACTTTTACAACTTCAATTAAAGCTTTGGGGCACATGTACTTCTTGTTATTTACTTTCGCCACTGTTCTTGAAAGTAACAAGACTACAAGCAACAACGGAGACAGCCTGACTTGCTAGTGGACGTTAGAGACAAGGGTCATCGGCCAGAAGATGCAGTTTAAATGTCTTAATAGCTTCGTTATATCGCTCTACATGGAACGTGCCTTATGCTATTTTTCTTGTCAGAAGCTCTTCTTGGGGTGTGAGCTTATCCAGACCCTTTCAAAAATTGAGGAATGTTCATCTCGACCCTCCTTGACATGAGTAAAGTCTTTCACAGTAAAGCTCTGTCTCAACTAATAAAAGAATCACCGGGGATGTAAATGCTCCAATATGCCACTTTGTTCAAATATGTCTCTGTCACTTAATAGCACCCTCGTAAAGATCTGAGACGAACACACCAGTGCCATTAGGCGCAACAGCTATCAAGACACTTAAATGTGTGATGGTGCTTATAATTTGAGAATAAGTTTCCTTGCTGAGAAAAGTTACGAGGCATTTGTACGAAGAATTCTGTACAGTCCACAGAGCACCGAATATTTTTGAACCCGTTTGAATGATTTAGGCATACATTTTCTTGAGGACAGATCTATCTGGGAACAGTTTTTACCTCCTTAAAGTGCGTACAATAATTGGAGCCATGTAGTAACATATTGACCTTAGTGAGACTCCGATAATTTGAATAAGAATGACTGTATAAAAGCAATAGCCACGACGTAGTCTAACAACAGTCATAAAAAGTTCCTCGATTGGTTTTGTCTTTCTCCTCTTCTTAGTTGAACTCTGCTCACTTTTCCCAGTACTGTTCCAGTAAGTAAGGTTATTTACCGCGGGGCCGAGGAAGTTGAATAAGGCCATGAAGTGTAAAACGAAAGTCCAGTAAAGAACTTCATTTTTCTGGCATCATCTTTAACATCATCCAAAGTCAGGAGGGCCTCATATTCAGGTTTCTGATCACTTGGAGGCACATCAAGAGAAGAAGGCCTGATTTCGATACAGTTGCTTCATTCTTCAGTATGATGTTTTCAATCTTGGACTGCAACATGTATCGGTCATATACAGTCTGACAGCCAACATCCACCATCAACTTTGAACATTTGGAGCAGGGTTCCAGAGCTTCTGTTTGAATCCCTACAGAGTTAGCCTGACCGAAAAAAACAAAAGATACATGTACATTAATACTGGTACAGATTTATAGGGCTACAAATATACCTGATAAATTAGAATTTAAGTGGACTAGATCAGGAATTAGCTTAAAATGTTTTGTGTATAAAAATCATTTTTTGTTTTCTGGATGGCCCTCAAATTTGTGATAATTGAAATTTTCAAAGATGGTTTGGCTCCACCTTTTTCTGATGTTATTAAAAATGAAGCTGTTTCAAGAGGCCACTTTCTTAATACCCACAATTTGTTGTTTGATAGAGCACATACTCAAAGATCTAAAATAGTTTAATATCACTTATTGAAGGTATATGACAATCAGATTTACACTACATCAAAACATATCTTTGTACACTTACTTTATTTTCTTCTGTGTCAGTAACATCTAGAGGTGAGATCATACTGAGATCCAACAAGATGTTTGCTGCGTCGAGATCAGTATTTGCGGAGTCCACCACTTTTCTCCTCTTTTTGTCGCTGGAGTGCTTGCGAATGGCCTAGGTGTTGGTGCTTTTCTCCTCCGCCTGATAATACGTTCAATCTGCAACAATAAACCAAAATTCTTTACAAATATCCTCAAAAACTCTGCTTATCCTTTCTAATAATAACTTCTCATACATCTCACAGGTGAGGCCTTAGTTCAGGCCCATCTCAACTCTTAACAAGATAGAATAAATAAAGCATCTGTTTTATATAACACTTTTCTGGACACTCAAAGACGCTTTACATTGCACTATTCATTGATTCCACACTGGGTGGTGGTAAGCTACTACTGTAGCCACAGCTGCCCTGAGGTAAACTGACAGAAGCATACAGACAGAAAATATAAGGTTGTTCATCAATATCACGATTGATGTGTGAAGCAACAAAAACAGGCGGTTGACAACACAGGTTAGAACAACAATGGCAGAGGACCATTTTTTAAAAAAAATTTACGTGATTCATTTTCGTCAGACAGTAGCAGCAGTACGGCCAAACGCAAAAGCAAAAAAGAAAGGAAATTATAGAAATGGCTTACCTCTTCGGGGCAGGCTGTGGCCGGCAATGGATCAGGATTGTCATCTGTAGGACCATGGCCCCCAACAAAATGTTTACTACATATGAAGGTGAATGGTTTCACGTTGCTGGCATTGAACTGGTCTTTTGGACGTCCGCACAAGTTGACCCATTGTTCACATTTATCCCTCTGGGTTTTTGGCTTCGGGAAACGAATAAAGAATACATCCTTCATATGTGGACGGTCATAGTGTCTGGAGTCGTTTCTGCAAGTTCCATAGCAGCAGTTTTTACTCGGCATGTTCTTATTTGAGGGATAACCGGCAGAAAACAAGCAGTACTAGCATGAATCGTAAGCGAGCGCGCTTCTATGTTGACCCTCTTCCGGTTTACGTTGCTGACGTCACGCGGCCTTGCAGTCTAAAAATAGCACTCGTGCGGCACGCTATTCAATCTTTTCCTGTCAGTCTGTGTCCCCTGTATCATACAGTCTGGGGTTTGGCTGTAGACAGTATTTTATTAAGCCAGCAGGTGGCAGCAGAGCTCCCTGGTTTGGTCAAAGATCACTCTGAGCACTCTGAGCAGAGAGACAGAGGTGAAGCAGACATGGAGTAATATAGTCGGGGTCAGGCTACATTTGGAGACAGTTTGACCAGTAAATGTGTCTCCAGAGCTGACAGAGACCATGTGGAGGGTCAGGGCAGCAGACCATGTGAGGGTCAGAGCAGCAGACCATGTGAGGGTCAGAGCAGCAGACCATGTGAGGGTCAGAGCAGCAGACCATGTGAGGGTCAGAGCAGCAGACCATGTGAGGGTCAGAGCAGCAGACCATGTGAGGGTCAGAGCAGCAGACCATGTGAGGGTCAGAGCAGCAGACCATGTGAGGGTCAGAGCAGCAGACCTTGTGGAGGGTATTCCTCTCAGTCCCTTTGATCTAGAATGTTCTTCTGCTGCAGCTTCTTCTCAGTCCCTTTGATCTAGAATGTTCTTCTGCTGCAGATTCTTCTCAGTCCCTTTGATCTAGAATGTTCTTCTGCTGCAGCTTCTTCTCAGTCCCTTTGATCTAGAATGTTCTTCTGCTGCAGATTCTTCTCAGTCCCTTTGATCTAGAATGTTCTTCTGCTGCAGCTTCTTCTCAGTCCCTTTGATCTAGAATGTTCTTCTGCTGCAGATTCTTCTCAGTCCCTTTGATCTAGAATGTTCTTCTGCTGCAGCTTCTTCTCAGTCCCTTTGATCTAGAATGTTCTTCTGCTGCAGATTCTGCCAGACCCTGATCCACCTGCTGAAAGGAAACATTGGTACAGGATTGCTGGGTTTGCCGTTGGCGGTGAAGAACGCCGGGCTGGTGGTGAGTGCGGACATGAACATGAAAACAGACGGACTCAGAGAACCTCATGTTACAGACGCTTTTACACATTTTCTTTGGACGGTTTTACACATTTTTGTTCAAGTTTTGACGATTGTAGATTAACGGACAATTTAGTTTTGAAGTAAAGTCATGCTAGCAGGTGGATTAGATTCTGCTAATGCTCTTTTTAGTCATTTTAACGAGACATATTAGGGGATAATACATAAGGATAGTATGTGGATTTAGACCTTAGTACCAGATGAAATGAGTACCATGGTGTGGTAAGACCAGGGCTGTGTAGAGACGAGCTGATTATTACTCATTACCCATGATATTGATTATATTTACGGATTATTTTTAACATTAAATATTATTTGTTGCTGTGTGTGTGTGTGTGTGTGTGTATTTCTGTGTGTGTGTGTGTCTCTCTCTCTCTGTGTCTGTGTGTGTGTATTTCTGTGTGTGTGTGTCTCTCTCTGTGTGTGTGTGTGTCTGTGTCTGTCTCTCTCTCTGTGTGTGTCTCTCTCTGTGTGTGTCTCTATGTGTGTGTCTGTCTCTGTGTGTGTGTCTCTCTCTCTGTGTGTGTCTCTCTCTGTGTGTGTGTGTGTGTCTCTCTCTGTGTGTGTGTCTCTGTGTCTCTCTGTGTGTGTGTCTCTGTGTGTGTCTCTCTCTCCGTGTGTCTCTCTTTGTGTGTGTCTCTCTGTGTCTCTTTGTGTGTGTCTCTCTGTGTCTCTCTCTCTTTGTGCGTGTATGTCTCTGTGTCTCTCTGTGTGTGCGTGTGTGTCTCTCTGTGTGTCTCTCTCTCTGTGTGTGTCTGTGTGTGTCTCTCTCTCTCTCTGTGTGTCTCTCTCTGTGTGTGTCTGTGTGTGTGTCTCTCTTTCTCTCTCTCTGTGTGTGTGTGTGTCTGTCTCTCTGTGTGTGTGTGTCTGTCTCTCTGTGTGTGTCTGTGTGTGTCTCTCTCTCTCTCTGTGTGTGTGTGTGTCTGTCTCTCTGTGTGTCTCTCTCTCTCTCTCTCTCTGTGTCTCTCTCTATGTCTCTCTCTCTCTCTCTCTCTGTGTGTCTCTCTCTCTCTGTGTGTGTCTCTCTCTGTGTGTCTCTCTGTGTGTGTGTGTGTCTGTGTCTCTCTCTCTCTGTGTGTGTGTGTCTCTCTCTGTGTGTGTCTCTCTGTGTCTCTCTGTCTCTCTCTGTCTCTCTCTGTCTCTCTCTGTCTCTCTCTGTGTGTGTGTGTGTCTGCAGGTGGGTCCAGTGAGTCTGTTGGTGATGGGAGTAGTTGCGGTTCACTGCATGAGGTTATTGGTGAAATGTTCTCATCATCTCAGTGAAAAGTGAGTCACATTTTCAGTTTTATTCTGAAACTCAAAACACATCGTTTTACTTTAACACAAAATAAATAATTAAATAAAAACATACTTTTTTCTGTATTTAAATCATTTGTTTGTGTTTCAGAATGAACCGTCCGTCAATGTCGTACGGAGAAGTGGTGCAGCACGGGTTTGAGAACGTGTCATGGCTCCGCAGGCAGTCACACTGGGGAAAGTAAGAGAGACCAGAGAGAGACCAGAGAGAGAGACCAGAGAGAGAGACCAGAGAGAGAGACCAGAGAGAGAGACCAGAGAGAGAGACCAGAGAGAGAGACCAGAGAGAGAGACCAGAGAGAGAGACCAGAGAGAGAGACCAGAGAGAGAGACCAGAGAGAGAGACCAGAGAGAGAGACCAGAGAGAGAGACCAGAGAGAGAGACCAGAGAGAGAGACCAGAGAGAGAGACCAGAGAGAGAGACCAGAGAGAGAGACCAGAGAGAGAGACCAGAGAGAGAGACCAGAGAGAGAGACCAGAGAGAGAGACCAGAGAGAGAGACCAGAGAGAGAGACCAGAGAGAGAGACCAGAGAGAGAGACCAGAGAGAGAGACCAGAGAGAGAGACCAGAGAGAGAGACCAGAGAGAGAGGCCAGAGAGAGAGACCAGAGAGAGAGACCAGAGAGAGAGACCAGAGAGAGAGACCAGAGAGAGAGACCAGAGAGAGAGACCAGAGAGAGACCAGAGAGAGAGACCAGAGAGAGAGACCAGAGAGAGAGACCAGAGAGAGAGACCAGAGAGAGAGACCAGAGAGAGAGACCAGAGAGAGAGACCAGAGAGAGAGACCAGAGAGAGAGACCAGAGAGAGAGACCAGAGAGAGAGACCAGAGAGAGAGACCAGAGAGAGAGACCAGAGAGAGAGACCAGAGAGAGAGACCAGAGACCAGAGAGAGAATTAATTTGTTATCAATCTCTTGTTGTGATGTTTTGTGTTTTTGTTCCTATTTAGGAGAATTGTGGATCTTTTTCTGATCATAACTCAGCTGGGATTCTGCTGCGTCTACTTTGTTTTCCTGAGCGACAACGTCAAACAGGTACACACACACACACACACACACACACACACACTGAAGTAAATGGACGTTCTATTATTCTAATTTCATATTTCACATAAAGAATCTCTGATGTTACTGATCTTTAAATTTTAATCCCAGATAAAAGTCTTTGTGTGTGCGTGTGTGTGTGTGTGTGTGTGTGTGTGTGTTTGTCTGTGGGTGTGTGTGTGTGTGTGTGTGTTTGTCTGTGTGTGTGATTTATTTCTGGAGCTGAAGTTTAATTTTAATCCTGTTCTCTCCCACTGAGGCCGTTACAGTTTAACCAGAGCAGGTTATAAACTTGTATCTCTACTATAAACTTTATGTAATAGATTTATGGTCCGTGTGTATAAGGTCTCTCTCTGGTGTCTCTCTCTGGTGTCTCTCTCTGGTGTCTCTCTCTGGTCTCTCTCTCTGGTCTCTCTCTCTTTAGTCTCCACCTCAGTTGAACTTGTTAGAGGTTGTGTTTGTTCACTCAATAACAAAGTAAATACAGAGTCTAATTCATGCACAGAGAAAGAACAAATATAAAACGTCACATGTTTTACAGTAGAAGTGTGTGTAGTACCCGTTTCCGTCCACAAGAGGCTGCTGTCTGTTCACACAGCACTGTCAGAGACATGACTGCCACGTTCATTAAACCTCAGACAGATTTAAGTGAAGTTTATTATTATTTTAGGATCATCGACAATAAACTATGTGTAAGAAGAGTCACCAGCAACCATCGTTTCATGGTTTGGTCACACAGAACCATGAAGAGTATGGTGATTTGACCTTTCTCTTTAGTCTCTCTCTCTCGGTCTCTCTCTCTTTAGTCTCTATCTCTTTCTATTTCGTCTCTCTCTTGTCTCTCTCTGGTCTATGTCTCTCTGGTCTCTGTCTCTCTGGTCTCTGTCTCTCTGTCTCTGTCTCTCTCTTTAGTCTCTCTCTCGCTCTCTCTCTCTCTCTGTCTCTCTCTCTCTCTGGTCTCTGTCTCTATCTTGTCTCTCTCTGGTCTCTGTCTCTCTCTCTCTGGTCTCTGTCTCTCTAGTCTCTCTCTTGTCTCTCTCTAGTCTCTCTCTCTGGTCTCTCTCTGGTCTCTGTCTCTTTCTTTAGTCTCTCTCTCTCTCTGGTCTCTGTCTCTTTCTTTAGTCTCTCTCTCTGGTCTCTGTCTCTCTCTCTCTCTCTGGTCTCTGTCTCTTTCTTTAGTCTCTCTCTCTCTCTGGTCTCTGTCTCTTTCTTTAGTCTCTCTCTCTGGTCTCTGTCTCTTTCTTTGGTCTCTCTCTCTCTCTGGTCTCTGTCTCTCTCTTTAGTCTCTCTCTCTCTGGTCTCTGTCTCTCTCTCTCTCTGGGTCTCGCTCTCGCTTTAGTCTCTTGCAATTTTTGACTCATTCTTTAGAACTTCTGGTACAATATGGTTTGACTATAAGCCGCAGCATTCCTAGTCAGTTAAAACAGCCGCGGTTTCTAGTCCATCACTTACAGTATTCAAGGTAAGTAATCTTTATTTATATACCGCCTGTTCACGGCACATCGGAGTCTCAAAGCGGTTTACAATTTGTCTCTCACTCCACACAGAGATGGGAGCGGGGCCAGTACAGGAGGCACATGTCAGACCTATTGTACATATTTTTAGTGGTAGGGGAAACCTGAGTACCCGGAGGAAACCTACGCAGACACGGGGAGAACATGCAAACTCCACTCAGAAAGGCCCTGGTCCAACCGGGATTCGAACCCAGGACCTTCTTGCTGAGAGGCGAGAGTGCTATCCACTCAGCCACCGTGCCGCCCAGGGTGATCAGTCTCCTCTAATACGTCGCCTCCTACAGACCACTCAATCCGCCACAGAAGCCGGGGGTTGTGTTCAAAGTTAGCTTGACGTCGCACACACACTGTTCATTTCGCCGGATGCTAATGATGCTAATTCTTTGCTAATCTCCGCCGCTGCTTCATCATCATTTGCTGCGTCGCTGAAGCCTGTAACAGCCACATGTCCAAACCTGGAGCAGTCTGACGTCTCCTTCACACACGGCCGGACCTCCTCCGAGCTGCGGGCGCCAGGTTTGCAGAGCCGCGGGGGACATTCAGGATCTTTTAAGAGGTTGTCCCGGAAAGTTTACACGCCCAGGGAGAGGTTTTAGGCCTGATTAATTACTAGATTATGATTAATACAACTTTCTTTCTCAATTTTTCAATAACATGGTACATTGTAGAGCAGTCGGCCAACTCCACCTCCAACCACACCCTCCTCATGTGACTGCATGCCTGTTTCTGATTACTTCACTGATTTTCAAGAGCCGGAGAATATTGTGTGTTGTGACTATGTGAAATGTGAAACCAGATTCTGAAAGACTGGACTGTCTACTTTAATCTGCAAGAATAAGTTTGTTTCTAGCTAGTTTTGTTCTCCTGTAATCCCTCGTCTAAAAGAGAGAAGTTTGGCAATCCCTGAAAAGATCCTGTATCGGCCCCACTGCGGGGAAATGTCAGTGTTGCATCATCAGTTAAAGAACAGAAGGAATGAGCAGCACACGGCACAAGACAAATGAACAATAGCTAACAACAAGATTCATTGATTTTCTAAGTTCACAGCCTCATAACCCCTGGTGAGCGGAGGGCCTACATAAACACAGTTGTTAGAGGCTGGCGGCACGGTGGCTGAGTGGATAGCACTTTCGCCTCTCAGCAAGAAGGTCCTGGGTTCGAATCCCGGTCGGACCAGGGCCTTTCTGAGTGGAGTTTGCATGTTCTCCCCGTGTCTGCGTAGGTTTCCTCCGGGTACTCCGGTTTCCCCTACCACTAAAAATATGTCCAATAGTTCTGGCATGTGCCTCCTGCACTGGCGACCCCGCTCCCATCTCTGTGTGGAGTGAGAGACAAATGCCCATAATTAACAATTGTAAACCGCTTTGAGACTCTGGTCTGTGAAAGGCGGTATATAAATAAAAACTTACTTACTTACTTACTTACTTAGAAATCTGGAACAATGTGGCTTAAAACAATGACATGAATCAGAGAAATGTTTTAAAACAAATAATACGGTCCGTTCAATCAGAGACTCCCTGTCATTTACACATGCTGCTTATATAGCCTTGGGCGAGCGGGAGGAGTTACATGTTTGGATCTTGTTTGGATACACAGATCAGCTTGCTTGGACTTGTCACAACCAAATGTCATACGTCCAGTTGGATGATGTCTGTCGTCTGTCTTTCACCGTCTGTCTCCACGCTTCTGTGTCAGCATTGCGATCCGATATTTTTGTGAATACCTCTGGGTGTTTTTGGTTCCCTGACCCAGGCGTGAACCCAACATGTTCAGGAAAAACAGACTGAGAGAGACCAGAGAGAGACCAGAGGGAGAGACCAGAGAGAGACCAGAGAGAGACCAGAGGGAGAGACCAGAGAGAGAGAGACCAGAGAGAGACCAGAGAGAGACCAGAGAGAGAGAGACCAGAGAGAGAGAGACCAGAGAGAGAGAGACCAGAGAGAGAGAGACCAGAGAGAGAGAGACCAGAGAGAGAGAGACCAGAGAGAGAGAGACCAGAGAGAGAGAGACCAGAGAGAGAGAGACCAGAGAGAGAGAGAGACCAGAGAGAGAGAGACCAGAGAGAGAGAGAGACCAGAGAGAGAGAGACCAGAGAGAGAGAGACCAGAGAGAGAGAGACCAGAGAGAGAGAGACCAGAGAGAGAGAGACCAGAGAGAGAGAGACCAGAGAGAGACCAGAGAGAGAGAGACCAGAGAGAGGACCGTGGGCTGTGAGCTTCCTGTTCTGGAGGTTCTTTATAAATCCAGACTTTTAAACAAAGCTCTTAGGATTGTTAATGACTCTTCTGGCCACCCTGGGAAAGCCATGTTCCAGCTTCTTCCCTCTGGCAGAAGATATCGCTCTCTGAGATGCAGGACATCTCGTTACGCTAACAGTTTTTATCCACAAGCTGTTATCAGTGTGAACAGAGCACTTTAATGATTTGCACTTGTTTTGAACTGTTTTAGTCGATCGATTTCACAGTGACATTTGTTTACTGTTTTATTTCTTTTATGTCTGTATTTGTCTGTGCACACTGGAGACTTTTGCTAATGTATTCCAATGTGGTTTTGTTACTGCAAATGGCAAATAAACTGAATCTGAAGAAGCAAGTATAAGTCCTGTATGTTCTGGTGCAGTAATATATCTGTATATTAGCAGTAAAATGACAGTGACACGTGGTCAGGCCAACCCTTCTCATTGTTCGTTGTACAGTCTGACAGCAGCAGGAGGCAAAGACCTGCTTGACATTGATTGTGTGAAGCCATGTGTGTCCTATATTTATTGTTTTTTATTTATAATATGAAGACAACATAAACTGGTGACTCTTGGATTGATTCCACCTCTGTGCGTATGGTTCCTCCAGGTGCTCCGGTTTCCCCTACCACTACTTTGTATTGTATTTATGAATTGATTTGATGGGGACAAGTGTTACACAATCAGCATGTGAAGCACTACAACATTTAAAGTCAAGGCTAGTTTGCAAATGTCCGTCTTTTTGTGAGTTTTTAACACAAATAAAAACACATTTTAAAACCAGCCCAAGCCCAACTAAAAACATGTACTTCTTGCCCCGCCCCCGGCGTTAGCCTCTTGGGACCGTTGTGATGTCGCATGATTGTGTTTTGCAGGTGGTAGAAGCGGCCAACGCCACCTCCTTTACCTGCGAGCTGAACTTCACAAACCAGACCAGCGTGTTGGTGCCCAGCTTCGACTCGCGGCTCTACATGCTCTGCTTCCTGCCCTTCTTCGTGCTGCTGGTCTTCACACCGAACCTCAAGTATCTGGCGCCCCTGTCTCTGGTGGCGAACCTGGCCATGAGCGCCAGTTTGGTGCTCATTTACTTCTACTCGCTCACGGTGAGAACGGTTCATCACGGTCCAACGATCAGACTCATTAACTCATTGACCGCCATTGACGTGTTAACACGTCAAACCAAATAGTAACGTTGTGTGCCATTGACGTGTTAACACATCAATTGCGTGTCCCGCTATTTTTACGTTCCCAGACATCTATTGTATCTAATATGTGTGGGGATGGCTTGAGACCATATTTTATCTAGCCAGCAGGTGGCAGCATTTCGCATGGCGCCGTAAAGATGGCGCCGTGGCAAGAGCTCTGGTGTGTGTGGTGCACACTGGGGTAGTCTTGCACAGTTTTTCCTATGTGGTTTTACTGCAAATGGCAAATAAATGAATCTGAATCTGATTTCTCTCTGAATGGTTTGAAAACAGTTGGGTGCACATGCTGTGCCTCCTTTTTCTCAGCTTTCTGGTGATTTCAGTAAAACTTCCCTCTACTCAACTGGGGATTACAGGGGAACGAAACAAGGATTGGATTTCAGATAGTCATAGTACACAATATTCTGTGGGTCTTTAAAAATCAGTACAAATAATCAGAAACGGCTGGCACTGTGGGAGTACCTGTTCTGATATAGGCTGGCAGGCAATGAGTTAAAGGCTGTAGCAGGAAGTCACTGAGAGAGGTGCAAAGGGAGAGGAGAGAGGAGAGAGAGGTGGAGAGAGGAGACAGGAGGAGAGAGAGAGGAGGAGAGGGAGAGGAGACAGAGGAGGAGAGGGAGAGGAGACAGAGGAGGAGATGGAGAGGAGACAGAGGAGGAGAGGGAGAGGAGACAGAGGAGGAGATGGAGAGGAGACAGAGGAGGAGAGAGAGAGGAGACAGAGGAGGAGAGGGAGAGGAGACAGAGGAGGAGAGGGAGAGGAGACAGAGGAGGAGGGAGAGGAGCCAGAGGAGGAGAGGGAGAGGAGCCAGAGGAGGAGAGGGAGAGGAGCCAGAGGAGGAGAGGGAGAGGAGACAGAGGAGGAGATGGAGAGGAGACAGAGGAGGAGATGGAGAGGAGACAGAGGAGGAGATGGAGAGGAGACAGAGGAGGAGGGAGAGGAGCCAGAGGAGGAGAGGGAGAGGAGACAGAGGAGGAGAGGGAGAGGAGCCAGAGGAGGAGAGGGAGAGGAGCCAGAGGAGGAGAGGGAGAGGAGCCAGAGGAGGAGAGGGAGAGGAGACAGAGGAGGAGATGGAGAGGAGACAGAGGAGGAGATGGAGAGGAGACAGAGGAGGAGGGAGAGGAGACAGAGGAGGAGGGGGAGGAGCCAGAGGAGGAGAGGGAGAGGAGCCAGAGGAGGAGAGGGAGAGGAGCCAGAGGAGGAGATGGAGAGGAGACAGAGGAGGAGATGGAGAGGAGACAGAGGAGGAGATGGAGAGGAGACAGAGGAGGAGATGGAGAGGGGACAGAGCAGGAGAGAGAGAGGAGACAGAGGAGGAGAGGGAGAGGAGACAGAGGAGGAGGGAGAGGAGACAGAGGAGGAGATGGAGAGGAGCCAGAGGAGGAGAGGGAGAGGAGCCAGAGGAGGAGAGGGAGAGGAGACAGAGGAGGAGAGGGAGAGGAGACAGAGGAGGAGAGGGAGAGGAGACAGAGGAGGAGAGGGAGAGGAGACAGAGGAGGAGAGGGAGAGGAGACAGAGGAGGAGATGGAGAGGGGACAGAGGAGGAGAGAGAGAGGAGACAGAGGAGGAGAGGGAGAGGAGACAGAGGAGGAGGGAGAGGAGACAGAGGAGGGGAGGGAGAGGAGACAGAGGAGGAGAGGGAGAGGAGACAGAGGAGGAGAGGGAGAGGAGACAGAGGAGGAGAGGGAGAGGGGACAGAGGAGGAGAGGGAGAGGAGACAGAGGAGGAGAGGGAGAGGGGACAGAGGAGGAGAGGGAGAGGAGACAGAGGAGGAGATGGAGAGGGGACAGAGGAGGAGAGGGAGAGGGGACAGAGAGGGAGAGGAGAGAGGGAGAGGAGACAGAGGAGGAGAGGGAGAGGAGACAGAGGAGGAGATGGAGAGGAGCCAGGAGGAGAGAGAGAGAGGAGGAGGAGGAGAGGGAGAGGAGACAGAGGAGGAGAGGGAGAGGAGACAGAGGAGGAGATGGAGAGGAGACAGAGGAGGAGATGGAGAGGAGACAGAGGAGGAGAGGGAGAGGAGACAGAGGAGGAGAGAGAGAGGAGACAGAGGAGGAGAGGGAGAGGGGACAGAGGAGGAGATGGAGAGGAGACAGGAGGAGAGGGAGAGGAGACAGAGGAGGAGGGAGAGGAGACAGAGGAGGAGAGGGAGAGGAGACAGAGGAGGAGATGGAGAGGGGACTGAGGAGGAGAGGGAGAGGAGACAGAGGAGGAGATGGAGAGGAGCCAGAGGAGGAGAGGCAGAGGAGGAGAGAGAGGAGACAGAGGAGGAGAGGGAGAGGAGACAGAGGAGGAGAGGGAGAGGAGACAGAGGAGGAGAGGGAGAGGAGACAGAGGAGGAGAGGGAGAGGAGACAGAGGAGGAGATGGAGAGGAGACAGAGGAGGAGATGGAGAGGAGACAGAGGAGGAGATGGAGAGGAGACAGAGGAGGAGAGGGAGAGGAGACAGAGGAGGAGATGGAGAGGAGACAGAGGAGGAGATGGAGAGGAGCCAGGAGGAGAGAGAGAGGAGACAGAGGAGGAGATGGAGAGGGGACAGAGGAGGAGAGAGAGAGGAGACAGAGGAGGAGAGGGAGAGGAGACAGAGGAGGAGGGAGAGGAGACAGAGGAGGGGAGGGAGAGGAGACAGAGGAGGAGAGGGAGAGGAGACAGAGGAGGAGAGGGAGAGGAGACAGAGGAGGAGAGGGAGAGGGGACAGAGGAGGAGAGGGAGAGGAGACAGAGGAGGAGAGGGAGAGGGGACAGAGGAGGAGAGGGAGAGGAGACAGAGGAGGAGATGGAGAGGGGACTGAGGAGGAGAGGGAGAGGAGACAGAGGAGGAGGGAGAGGAGACAGAGGAGGAGATGGAGAGGGGACAGAGGAGGAGAGGAGGGAGAGGAGAGAGGAGAGAGGAGAGAGAGGAGACAGAGGAGGAGAGGGAGAGGAGACAGAGGAGGAGATGGAGAGGAGCCAGGAGGGAGAGAGAGAGAGGAGGAGGAGAGGGAGAGGAGACAGAGGAGGAGAGGGAGAGGAGACAGAGGAGGAGATGGAGAGGAGACAGAGGAGGAGATGGAGAGGAGACAGAGGAGGAGAGGGAGAGGAGACAGAGGAGAGAGAGAGAGAGGAGACAGAGGAGGAGAGGGAGAGGGGACAGAGGAGGAGATGGAGAGGAGACAGGAGGAGAGGGAGAGGAGACAGAGGAGGAGGGAGAGGAGACAGAGGAGGAGAGGGAGAGGAGACAGAGGAGGAGATGGAGAGGGGACTGAGGAGGAGAGGGAGAGGAGACAGAGGAGGAGATGGAGAGGAGCCAGAGGAGGAGAGGCAGAGAGGAGGAGAGAGAGGAGACAGAGGAGGAGAGGGAGAGGAGACAGAGGAGGAGAGGGAGAGGAGACAGAGGAGGAGAGGGAGAGGAGACAGAGGAGGAGAGGGAGAGGAGACAGAGGAGGAGATGGAGAGGAGACAGAGGAGGAGATGGAGAGGAGACAGAGGAGGAGAGGGAGAGGAGACAGAGGAGGAGATGGAGAGGAGACAGAGGAGGAGATGGAGAGGAGCCAGGAGGAGAGAGAGAGGAGACAGAGGAGGAGATGGAGAGTAAGGAGATGGAGAGTAGACAGAGGAGGAGAGGGAGAGGAGCCAGGAGGAGAGGGAGAGGAGACAGAGGAGGAGAGGGAGAGGAGACAGAGGAGGAGAGGGAGAGGAGACCGAGGAGGAGAGGGAGAGGAGACCGAGGAGGAGAGGGAGAGGAGACAGAGGAGGAGAGGGAGAGGAGACAGAGGAGGAGACAGAGGAGGAGAGGGAGAGGAGACAGAGGAGGAGAGGGAGAGGGGACAGAGGAGGAGATGGAGAGGAGACAGAGGAGGAGAGGGAGAGGAGACAGAGGAGGAGAGGGAGAGGGGACAGAGGAGGAGATGGAGAGGAGCCAGGAGGAGAGGGAGAGGAGCCAGGAGGAGAGAGAGAGGAGGAGGAGAGGGAGAGGAGACAGGAGGAGGAGAGGGAGAGGGGACAGAGGAGGAGAGGGAGAGGGGACAGAGGAGGAGATGGAGAGGAGACAGGAGGAGGAGATGGAGAGGAGCCAGGAGGAGAGAGAGGAGGAGGAGAGGGAGAGGAGGAGGAGAGGGAGAGGAGACAGGAGGAGGAGATGGAGAGGAGCCAGGAGGAGAGGGAGAGGAGACAGGAGGAGAGAGAGGAGGAGGAGAGGGAGAGGAGACAGAGGAGGAGGGAGAGGAGACAGAGGAGGAGAGGGAGAGGAGACAGAGAGGGAGAGGAGACAGAGGAGGAGAGGGAGAGGAGACAGAGGAGGAGAGGGAGAGGAGGAGATGGAGAGGAGCCAGGAGGAGATGGAGAGGAGACAGGAGGAGAGAGAGAGGAGGAGGAGAGGGAGAGGAGACAGAGGAGGAGGGAGAGGAGACAGAGAGGGAGAGGAGACAGAGAGGGAGAGGAGACAGAGAGGGAGAGGAGACAGAGGAGGAGGGAGAGGAGACAGAGGAGGAGAGGGAGAGGAGACAGAGAGGGAGAGGAGACAGAGGAGGAGATGGAGAGGAGACAGAGGAGGAGATGGAGAGGAGCCAGGAGGAGAGGGAGAGGAGACAGGAGGAGAGAGAGAGGAGGAGGAGAGGGAGAGGAGACAGAGGAGGAGAGGGAGAGGAGACAGAGGAGGAGAGGGAGAGGGGACAGAGGAGGAGACGGAGAGGAGGGACAGAGGAGGAGATGGAGAGGAGACAGAGGAGGAGATGGAGAGGAGACAGAGGAGGAGATGGAGAGGAGACAGAGGAGGAGATGGAGAGGAGACAGGAGAGGAGGAGATGGAGAGGAGCCAGGAGAGAGAGAGAGAGAGGAGACAGAGGAGGAGATGGAGAGGAGACAGAGGAGGAGAGAGAGGAGGAGGAGGAGAGGGAGAGGAGACAGAGGAGGAGATGGAGAGGAGCCAGGAGGAGAGGGAGAGGAGACAGAGGAGGAGAGGAGAGGAGAGGAGGAGAGCCAGGAGGAGAGGGAGAGAGAGGAGGAGGAGAGGGAGAGGAGCCAGGAGGAGAGGGAGAGGAGAGAGAGGAGAGAGGAGAGAAAGTAGAGGGAGAGGAGAGAGAGAGATGAGAGAGAGAGGAGAGAGAGGAGACAGAGGAGGAGAGGGAGAGGAGCCAGAGGAGGAGAGGAGAGGAGAGAGAGAGGAGAGAGAGAGGAGGACAGAGGAGGAGAGGAAGAGGAGTGAGAGAGACCTGAGAGTTGGAAGAGAGAGACCAGGAGACGAGAGAGACCAGAGAGGAGAGAAGACCAGGGCACGAGAGAGAGAGAGAGACCAGAGGTGAGAGGACCAGATGAGAGAGAGAGCGAGGGAGACCAGGGAGAGAGAGAGAACCAGAGAGAGAGGCGCAGGACCAGAGAGAGGGAGAGAGGTACCAGATGAGAGAGAGTACAGAGAGAGAGGCCAGAGAGAGAGATGACCCGGACCAGAGAGGCCCAGAGAGGAGTAGACCAGAGAGAGAGAGGGCGACCAGAGAGTGAGAGAGAGGCAGAGAACGGAAGAGGGAGAGAGTGGGAGGCCTAGAGAGAGAAGAGGCCAGCGGAGACCAGAGAGTGACCAGAGAGAGGGATGACCAGAGAGAGTGAGAGGGAGGACCAAGAGAGAGAGACGGCAAGATGAGAGAGAGGACGGGGGAGACCAGAGGCCAGAGAGAGAGAGAGGGTGACCAGAGGAGAGAGAGGGAGACCAGAGATGAGAGACCAGTGAGAGAGGCCAGAGAGAGAGGGGATGACCTGGAGGAGAGAGGGAGGCCAGACGGGAGAGGCCAGAGTTGTGGAGAGGCCAGAGAGCGAGAGGAGGGAGACCAGAGAGAGGCCAGGGAGACAGAGCGAGGCCAGTGAGAGATGAGCCAGAGAGAGCGAGGGAGGACCAGAAGAGAGAGGGACCGACAGTGATGAATGACCAGAGAGAGTGGCAGACACAGATGAGTGAGAGAGAGAGGACCAGTCGAGAGAGAGAGATGAGACCAGAGAGAGAGAGGCCTGACATGAGAGGGAGTGACCAGGGAGAGAGAGGAGAGCACAGAGGGGAGGACAAGCGAGAGAGAGGGAGACCGAGTGGGAGAGTGACCAGAGAGAGAGGCCAGAGGAGACAGACCAGAGGGATGAGAGGCCACAGAGAGAGAGTGACCAGAGAGTGAGGCCAGAGGGTGAGAGAGGCCCAGAGAGAGAGAGAGCAGAGGGGTAGAGCCAGAGAGGCCTGAGAGGGAGACCAGAGAGAGAAGAGGGCGACCAGAGAGAGAGAAGGGAGACAGAGAGGGAGAGGGAGCCAGAGAGAGAGAAGGCGACCAGTGAGAGATGAGGGAGGCCCAGAGAGAGAGAGGGACCAGAGGAGGGAGGGAGAGCGACCAGAGAGAGAGGCCAAGAGAGAGGGAGGGACCAGAGAGAGAGAGAGCCGCGAGACCAGAGAGAGGCGCAGAGCGCAGAGATGAGGCCAGAGAGGGAGATGCCCGTAGCAGAGAGGGCGTCCAGAGAGAGAGAGACGGCCCGACCACGTAGACGAGAGAGGAAGACCAGAGAGAGTAGAGGCCAGAGAGAGGAGAGGACTCAGAGAGTAGATGAGAGAAGCGAGGGAGAGAGAGGAGAGACCAGAGGTCGAGACGAGAGGAGGAGACCCAGAGAGAGAGAGAGGCCAGAGCCAGAGATGCGCAGAGAGGAGAAGACCCAGGGAGAGAGAGAGGGATGACCAGAGAGTAGAGAGAGGAGACCAGAGAGAGACGAGACAGACCAGAGAGAAGGCAGAGTCAACCAGAGGAGAGAGTGACCAGAGAGAGACCCAGAGAGAGAGAGAGACCAGAGAGTGAGGCAGAGAGACCAGACGGAGACAGTAGAGATGAGCGCCAGGAAGAGGAGAGAGGGCCTGACTGAGGAGTGAGGCCAGAGGAGGGAGTGAGAGACTGAGGAGAGAGACAAGTGAGAGAGAGACCACGAGACGAGAGTGAAAAGAGTGAGAGAGAGCCGGAGGGGGAGCAGAGAGCCAGGATGCAGTCAGAGAGGCCAGTGAACGAGAGAGGACCCAGGAGAGAGACCAGAGACACAGTGGGAGACCAGAGCCTGAGAGATGGAGAGACCAGAGAGAGAGAGGAGCCAGAGAGAGAGGGAGCCAGGAGAGAGGGAGGCCAGAGAGAGAGAGAGGGAGCCCAGAGAGAGAGCGAGGCCAGAGACCCGAGAGAGAGAGGACCAGAGAGAGAGAGGCCACAGAGAGAGAGGCAGAGACCAGAGTGAGGTGAGAGACCAGAGAGCGTGAGAGACCAGAGAGAGAGAGAGCCAGGGAGAGAGAGGCGAGACCAGAGTAGAGAGAGAGAGAGAGCCAGGGAGAGAGAGAGGGAGCACCAGAATGGAGAGAGAGAGCCAGAGAGGGAGAGACCAGAGGAGAGAGAGAGAGGGAGAGACCAGAGAGAGAGGCCAGAGCAGAACGAGAGAGAGACCAGAGAGGAGAGACCAGAGGAGAGAGGCCAGAGGGAGAGAGAAGGACCTCGAGAGAGAGAGACCAGAGAGAGGGAGAGCACAGAGAGATCGAGCCAGAGACCAGAGGAGAGGCACCAGAGAGTGAGAGAAGCCAGGAGAGAGAGAGGCAGACCAGAGGGAGAGAGAGACCAGAGAGAGAAGGATGACCAGAGGATGAGAGAGACAGGAGAGAGAGGCAAGAGGAGGGAGAGGCGCAGAGAGAGAGAGGCCAGAGTAGAGTGGGACCAGAGAGAGAGAGAGAGAGTGACCAGTGAGACGAGGCCAGAGAGGGAGAGACCAGAGAGAGAGAGAGCCGGCATGAGCCAGAGAGCCAGAGAGGGTGGACAGAGGCCAGAGAGGGAGACCAGGAGGCCGAGAGAGAGAGAGGAGACAGAGAGAGGAGAGAGAGGCCAGTGAGACAGAGAGGCCAGAGAGAGAGAGCGGCAGACCAGAGAGAGACCTGAGAGAGGGAGACCAGAGAGAGAGATGAGTGGGAGACCGAGGTGAGAGACGGGAGAGAGAGGGCCACAGGAGAGAGAGAGTACACAGAGCTGAGAGAGCGAGGAGACCAGGAGAGAGAGGGAGGACCAGTGAAGACGAGAGTGGGAGGGAGACCAGAGAGAGCGACAGAGAGAGAGAGTGACCAGCTCGAGAGAGCGTGACCAGAGAGAGAGGAGACCAAGAGTTGAGAGAGGCCAGCGTGAGAGAGGCCAGAGAGCAGAGAGAGAGGCCAGATGAGGGGTGAGGACAGAGAGAGAGGCCAGAGAGAGAGAGCCAGAGGAGAGAGGACCAGAGAGAGAGAGTGAGAGGAGACAGAGAGAGACAGAGAGAGAGACCAGAGAGAGAGACAGAGAGAGAGACCAGAGAGAGAGAAGAAGCCAGAGAGAGAGAGAGAGACAGAGAGGGGTAGAGACCATGGTGAGTGGAGAGAGACCTAGGAGAGAGAGGAGCGGAGTTAGAGGATGAGGGAGAGAGAGACCAGTGAGAGATGAGAGCCAGAGAGAGAGAGTGGGGACCAGAGAGAGAGAGGCAGGCAGGAGAGAGAGAGAGCCAGAGAGGAGTGATCCAGAGAGAGTGCAACGGACGACCGAGAGAGGCCCAGAAGAGGACGAGAGGGAGACAGAGAGAGAGACAGAGAGGAGACGAGAGAGAGAGAGAGGAGACCAGAGAGATGAGAGAGAGGCCTGAGAGGAGAGAGAGACCAGAGAGAGAGAGGACAGAGAGGAGATGAGACAGGAGAGAGCCAGAGAGAGAGAGAGGCCAGAGAGAGAGGACCAGAGACAGAGAGAGAGAGAGGCCAGGAGTAGAGAGAGAAGAGGAGAAGGACAGAGAGAGAGACCAGGGAGGAGAGAGACCAGAGAGGAGAGATAGCCCAGAGAGAGACGAGGAGAGAGACCAGGAGCGAGAGAGAGGGAGAGAGAGACCAGAGAGAGAGTTGAGAGAGAGACGGAGAGAGAGAGACCAGAGAGAGAGGAGGAGAGAAGAGAGAGAGCCAGAAGAGAGAGAGGACCAGGGAGTGAGAGAGAGGGAGAGTCGAGGGAGAGAGAGAGAGAGACCAGAGAGAGAGAGAGAGGTGAGACCAGAGGGAGAAGAGAGAGAGGAGCCAGAGAGAGAGAGGCAGAGAGAGACCAGAGAGAGAGAGAGACCAGAGGAGATAAAGAGGACCAGGGAGAGACCAGGGAGACAGAGAGGAGACCGAGAGAGTGCCAGACAGAGAGACAGAGGAGACCAGAGAGAGAGAGAGAGAGACAGAGAGACGGAGAGAGAGAGACCAGGGAGAGAGAGAGAGACCAGAGAGAGAGAGAGAGACCAGAGAGAGAGAGACCAGAGAGAGCCAGAGAGAGAGAGAGGAGACAGACCAGAGAGATGAGAGGCCAGAGAGAGAGAGACCAGAGAGAGAGGAGAGAGCCAGAGAGAGAGAGAGGAGGACCAGAGAGAGAGAGAGACAGAGAGAGAGAGAGAGACCAGGAGGAGAGAGAGAGACCTGAGAGAGAGAGAGGCCAGAGAGAGAGAGACAGAGAGAGAGAGAGCCAGAGAGTAGAGAGACCAGAGAGAGAGAGAGAGAGACAGAGAGAGACAGAGAGAGAGAGACCAGAGAGAGAGGAGACCAGAGAGAGAGAGAGCAGAGAGAGAGACGAGAGAGAGAGACCAGAGAGAGAGAGGACCAGAGAGAGAGAGACCAGAGAGAGAGAGAGACTAAGAGGGACCAGGAGAGAGACAGATAGCACAGAGAGAGAGAGAGACAGAGAGAGACGGAGAGAGAGACCAGAGAGAGAGAGAGACCAGTAGCGAGAGAGCCAGAGAGACAGAGAGTAGAGAGAGAGACCATGAGAGACCAGAGAGACCAGAGAGAGAGGCAGAGAGACCAGAGAGAGACAGAGAGAGACAGAGTGAGAGAGATAGAGAGACCAGAGAGAGACGCAGAGAGAGACCAGAGAGAGACCAGAGAGAGACCAGAGAGAGAAGGAGAGAGACAGAGAGAGAGAGAGAGAGACCACAGAGAAGAGAGGACCAGAGAGTAGAGAGAGACCAGAGAGACGAGAGACCCAGAGAGAGAGAGACCAGACAGAGAGAGTCCAAGAGAGAGAGCCAGAGAGAGAGAGAGAGAGAGGACAGAGAGTAGAGAG